CTTTCTTAACCGTGGCTTGTGGACAGCAAACACATATTCATCACTGTGTCTGTCACGAGACTCTGTTCCCCTTTTGGGCTCTGTCTTTACATTTATTTTGAAAGATGAAGCTCACGATTATGGTAAGGGGCGTTACATTTCCGACGAGTGCTTGCGGTGTTCGGCCAATCACAATGCACTTGGTCAGCTGGCCAATCAGAGCAGACTGCGCTTGTCGGAAGGAGGGACTTTGTAGAAAACTAAGCGTTTGAGAGAGGCAGGGCATAGAGGACCTACAATAATGTACAGTATTTGAAAAATAATGTGTTTTTTTGAACATTAAAGCATGTCAACATATTCTGTTACACCAAATACACAAAATAATGATCTTTAAAAAAAAGCATCATATGACCCCTTTAAAACTATTTTTTTTGTTCATTGAAATAAAGCTGAGAAAATCAGAAAATATGAAACACATCTAACAGGGTTTCTGCAGGTTTTGTGAAGGTAAATTTAAGGCCTTTTTAAGACCAACTAAAGACAATATATTCCATAAATTGAAAGGGACACAAAGAAATCAATCACAATGAAGTGAGTATAATTAAAACAAGAACAAATATCTGCCTACAGGGTCAGAAACATTACCTTTTCAAAGGGAAAACAAGTTTATTTTTCTTACCCATTGACAGACATTTGTTATTGTTTCAAGCACAAACCCACTTAATTTTGTTACATTTCTCAGAAAACAAGAATTTATATCTTCATTTTGCATCTCAAGTAAATGTAGCTTGATTCAAGGAAGTTAAGATTTTCTACTGGAAAACAAAAAAGCATGCAACATTTAATGCCATGACTTTATAAATGTAAGACTTTCTTCTCTGATTTAAGACCGTTTCTAACTACAAATTAAAATGTAAACTACAAATATAAAAATAAAAGCTACTTCAAAATACTAATAAATACTGAAATAGTATATACTAATAATACTAAAGTAGCACTGCAACTAACCTGTGGATTGAGTGCTGTGCTCCTGTGCCTGAACGATCTGTGCGATTTGCGCTCTGAGTTTGGCCAGCTCAGTCTCCAGAGCACTGATTTTCTGAATGGCTTCATCGTTGATGATCGTCTGACTCTGTGGCGCAGGTTCAGCCTGGTGCACGCTGGGTAATGACCGCCGACGTCTCAGGGGTCTGCGCTGCTGGGTACGGAAAAACAACCCAGAATCTGTCTCAAACCTGCAGGACATACAGATACATACTTATTCCATAAATTGAAAGGGACACAAAGAAATCAATCACAATGAAGTGAGTATAATTAAAACAAGAACAAATATCTGCCTACAGGGTCAGAAACATTACCTTTTCAAAGTGAAAACGAGTTTAATTTTCTTACCCATTGACAGACATTTGTTATTGTTTCAAGCACAAACCCACTTAATTTTGTTACATTTCTCAGAAAACAAGAATTTATATCTTCATTTTGCATCTCAAGTAAATGTATCTTGATTCAAGGAAGTTAAGATTTTCTACTGGAAAACAAAAAAGATTAAGATATTCTTTTTTTTGCAATGCATGCAACATTTAATGCCATGACTTTATAAATGTAAGACTTTCTTCTCTGATTTAAGACCGTTTCTAACTACAAATTAAAATGTAAACTACAAATATAAAAATAAAAGCTACTTCAAAATACTAATAAATACTGAAATAGTATATACTAATAATACTAAAGTAGCACTGCAACTAACCTGTGGATTGAGTGCTGTGCTCCTGTGCCTGAACGATCTGTGCGATTTGCGCTCTGAGTTTGGCCAGCTCAGTCTCCAGAGCACTGATTTTCTGAATGGCTTCATCGTTGATGATCGTCTGACTCTGTGGCGCAGGTTCAGCCTGGTGCACGCTGGGTAATGACCGCCGACGTCTCAGGGGTCTGCGCTGCTGGGTACGGAAAAACAACCCAGAATCTGTCTCAAACCTGCAGGACATACAGATACATACATGATAATTACGACATTCAAATTTCTGCTTTCTAAATCAATTTAGAAATATTTTCACCTGTTTCTGCCAGCGCCATCGCTCTCTTCTCTGTCCATCCAGCCCACATCAGCGAGTGTGACCACAAGTCCATTTGGCCCATTTGAACTGTTGAGGAAACTCGCTCCTGCAGTGAATGGATGAAGCTACACGACCCAAAGACAGTTTAAAGGACAGTTAATAATTACAACACCTGTTCAGGGCACTTTACAAGTCTCACAACAACGACAAACAAACCCTCACAGACACTCAAGCACTCAAACAATGTGAGAACTAGCCTACAACAGCAGAACAAGTGCCAAATGTTTTTACAGCCACGGCAAAGAAAACAGCACCAGGGAAACCAGTTTAGACATCTCCTAGCGATTAATGAAGCAATTAGAACATTACAATGTCATTTAGCTCCTTTATCAAGAGGAAATCAATATTAAAGCCAGTATTTTACTAAAAAAATAAGCACTTCAAAACTTTTTTAAAGAGCTCTTGGCCTAAATTTTTCAGCAATGATCCAGAGAACTGACCTAGAGCAGACATTCTGCATTCCTGACATACAGGACAGCTGGAAGGAAGGGCAGAGAAGAGAGAAACAGAGACAGTAATAAAAGTTTCAAGGTCAGTTTAATGTCATCATACTTTTGTTTTAAAGGTTAGATGGTAGGAAAAGGCTAGATTAGATATTGTGAGCTGAAACCTGTCCCAGATTCATGATTGTTTATTGTCAGCACACTGATGGAATCAAAACAGTACAGGACAGAAATATGATAATATGGGAGAGATGAAAAATGAAAGGCCAAAGATGGAGGGTGTTAAAGGTTTTGAGATGTAAAAATGTAATAAAGATAGAAAACACTGATAATAATGGAATGAAAATGAATGAAGACTACCTGAAAATACTAAAATAGAGAATATAATACTGCAGATATTTAAAAACATAACAGGCACTCCAAATACAAATGTGCACAAAATAGGTTGTAAAGATTATTGTCTATTGAAATAATTACAAACATTTTGAGATATTCTTTTATTTATATGTTTTGACATTTGAATGAACAAAAACTGACATATTACCTGAAAATGGACACGAGGGCAGGGCGCTAAGGGAAGATTTGTGGCAATTCTTCTGACAATACTTCTGGATGACCCATAAGACTTTGACGATGATCCAAAAGCCTAAGAGAGACATAAAGATGAACATTCTTCCAATCATTAATAGCGCGAACTGTACAATATAATTCTGTATATCCTACCAGGTCCATTTCTATCCGTCTATGATTTGCACTCATCTTGTAACTTCAAATTTTTTTCTTCATTTGCCAGAAAAGACTGAGGTACTAAACATCTTTCTAGTAGTTTCTTCGTAAAGCACATGAGTTTGTGTCGCTAATAGATACCGCAAACAGAGGACTAACTTTACCACAAAGGTTAAAGGCGCTAAAACCCAAGCGTTATTGTTATTGTTTTTGTGTGTGTGTGTGTGTGTGTGTGTGTTATATTAAAGGCGCTCTTAGTTGTTTACAAAAGTTGTCGCGATTTCTAATAGTAAACTAGTAAACTGCAGTGTTACAGACTAGTATGATCCTGGCAATGCTAATGCTATCCAGCTGTTACCTGTATTTTCCCATAGACTGTACTGTAGGGAAAGAAGGGCGGGACTCAACAGTATTGGCCAATAGAGTTCAAGGGTGGTCGGTGGTTCTAGGAGCACGGAGTCAACCACTGGTTTGGAGTGGTGGATTGACAATACAACTGGCCAATCATAAGCGAGTTATGACTGGCACGAGGCATGCGAATGGATTTGCTGTATTTCAGTAAGTGGTGCTTGGTTGACTGTGACCGGTTTAAAAAGAAGACAATTTTATGTTATTAATTTAAAAAAAGAAGAAGAAAAAAAAAGATTGGTGAAACATTGGTTATTTGGAAATCATTTAAAATGTTTACTTAAATAAAATCGTATCAAACCTGTTTATATTTATTTATTTTTGCCTCACCCTTCTATTGTTTTATGTATTGTACTGGCTGACTATAAACAATGCACATTGAGAAATTGTAATACACGTTTCCCCTGTTTGTCCAGATATCACTGACATTACATATCAGAACTAGACTATTTTTATCTACTAGTCTACATTTTAAAGGTGAAATACGATTGTTTTATGTTTCTGTTCTGCCTTCGAAATTCCCTTTGTTTTGTCGTGTATTTCAAAGCGATTATTTATTTTAGTATTGCCCCAATATAAATAAAATATACGAATAGTATTTTTACTTGCTTCCTTGGTCCTGATGCTTTCTTTGTATTAAAAAAAAAACAATAACAAAAGCCAAATAAATAAATACTTTAGTAAGTTTTGGGTCGGAGTTGAAACAATTCTATAATTTGCTTCATATTGTCTCTTAGTAAAACCCTTTCTAATTGGTCGAGAACGCATGGCGTCATAGTCCACATCCTCCAATCAGTCTGTCTAAATCCAGGAAGTGTTGTAAAGGGTGCTAAAAAACTCCGCAGATAGTGGGCAAATATGCCTGACCAGAACAGCTGTCATAAAGATTTTTAACCATATTCACTGTCGTCATTACACAAGTTACATCCAATTGCGTATCCATCAGCACTTCATTTGTCGGCGGGTTTGATCCTTTGACTGGACAGGATCATCTGAAGAGGGGTCGTCCTGGGCGTGTTTGCTGTAAGGTTATGCGTGGACAACAGTGCCACAACACACACAAGGTTAACAAGATAAATACCATGCACATCCGAATCAAATACACTGATAATACATTGATTATTATGTTTTGGATTCATATAGCTGTATATTTATATGCGTCCTGATAGAAATAGATTCCGCCTTTCTCTTTCTGCGTGCTGGTATTGTTTTTGTTCTTGTTCTTGTTCATAGAAAGACATTCATATCCACACGTATTGATGTATGGAGACTAAATATGACTGAGAAATCAGCGCCAAATGTTTGCTTTTACATGCAGTTTTATGACTCGTATGAGAATTCAGATTGCCATTGTCTTGTGATGCGGTGTTAATGTTAGCCGGTTAGCACAGGGCCCGTTTAAAGGCCACGTTATGCTATGTTGTGCTATGCGAATCAGACATGACCATCATGGGTCATTCAGTCCACTATGAATGAAAGCCAATAATAAGTCCTGTGTATAGAGATCATATGTAAATCATTGCGAAAGGACGTCAGACAATAAATCTCAGATTTGTGTTCTTTTTTGTTTAGATAATACAGTTACAAAAAATTGATAATGTATATCAAAAAAATAATAAAAATACCAGAGGTTGAGCAGACAGAAACTTTTTATCATTTATGTAATTCAGTTTATACCAGCTTTTATGTTGTTTTTTTATGATAAACCTGTGCTTTCTGTCATTGACAGCATGTTCCACAGTATCAGAAGTAATCCCGTTCTGATTTTATTCCCCCTCAGCTAAGATCTGTGTATTTTATGTGCATGGCCCTTGGTGTGGGAGCACCATGAGTGGGGAGCCTGATGCCTTGGCTGTGGTGAATCAGCTGAGGGACTTAGCTGCTGACCCCCTCAACAGACGAGCTATTGTCGAAGATCAAGGCTGCTTGTCAGGCCTCATTCTCTTCTTCGACCACCCCAATCCACAAGTCGTCTACTCTGCGCTATTGGTAAGATTCTGTTTGTGAAACTTTTGCAGATGGTCTTTCTTTCTATGGTTTACTGCCATGTTAGATTAGTGGTAGTTAAGGGTTCAAATTAGGAGTCTTTATGAACTTAGAGATAGATGATGACGATAGTGTTCCAGTAAGAACATTTATTATAATAATCATATGGCGATATTCTCAAACAAACAGTAATGTTTTGATAGCTAAAATGTTTACATTTTTCTGGGAAATCTTATAAGTGGTATATTTATAGTTTACTGTAAACGATTTCTGCTTCAACTTCAATTCAGATATCTCAGTATAAAGCGTAATAGACAGCATTTACAACTTTAGAATTTCCCTGCTATAATGTCAAGTTATTGAATTACACCTCCAAACATTTTTACGTTTTCCAAGTTGTTATATTTGATATTAAAATAATTTCAAATATTATTTATAATGATATTATTGTTTCAAACAAATAGATTTGATATAAATAATAATTATTATTACTATTAATCTCATACTTTGATACAATTTCTTAGACATCAAGGGATGCATATCAACCAATCAGATCAAGCAAGGCCAATCCAGACTTGTCACATGACTGCCACCTGCTATACTTGTAACTAATAAGCATTTTATATATTATTATAATGATTATTTAATTGTTGGTATTATTTATTATTTTATTATTATTATACTTTTATTTGTTTGATATCAAGGCATTTGTATCAACCAATCAGATCACTCATTGCCCACCCAGCTGTCCTTAGACACATCACATGACTGCCACCTGCTGTCAGGTATTGTCACAATGCTTAGCCTAACTTCTATAGGAATGACTTAGTGTATAACCCAAAATATTTAATGTCATAATGCTTAACTCTAAGCCCAGGTTTAAATTAAATTTCGAACCCCAGAATTTCAGTGTGCCCTCTAAGTTTTGGGCCCCACTTTGTTTTATCTCTTTCAGAAGGACATCACACCCGTGGAGACATTTGGACAATAATGGAATAACACATTTATTTTATACACACACACACACACACACACACACACAGTAACTCTGACCCAAGTAGTTCTTGGTGTTCTGTTAACGGATTTGTTATCACAGCGGTGCCTGGCGGTTTGCCTCTGTAATGGCCCTGTGTGACCCTTCATGGCTTTGTGTCCTTCCAGGCGGTGCGCTACCTGGCAGAATGCCGTGCCAACAGGGAGAAGATGAAGGACGAGCTGGGAATGATGCTGAGCCTGCAGAACGTCATGCAGAAGTAAGTCGCTCCCATCACGCTGCCACAAAACATGAAGGCAACACGAGCTCGCTTTGCACTTTCCTGCAGAAAACCCTCATCCTGCTGCTTTAGTTGAAGTGAATGTGTGTGGTGGGCAGATTTAAAGCGCATGAGAAAGGTCGTCCTGTCATAAGCAGATTTGTCTGTTTTGACACTAAACGGGAGTGATGATGCAAGCTTGCTGTTGAAGCATAATGCGAACTGTCAAGCAACCTGATGTAGTGCATGATTGCATTTGTTAATGTCCAGCAGAGGTCAGTCCAAGACACCAGATAGAATATCATACCGCTATAGACATTGAGGAGTTCATGTTCAGTGGCCATGTTCAGAATATTGGTCAATCAATATGGATTTTTCATATTTCTTATACATTTACCTGGCAAAAAGGAAAAATGAATCATAACTTAGGGCTTAGCAGTAAAGATGGTATGAGAGCCAGTGTGAGAGTTTAGTTTTTTGTTTGTTTGTTTGAAGAAGGTAATACTTTTATTCAATAAAGATGCATTAAAATGTTTAAAAGTGACAGTAAAGACATTTTTAATGTTACACATTTGTTTCATAGAATGCTGTTCCTTTAAACTTTCTATTCATCAAAGATTCCACAAAATAATTAATTAAGCAACTGTTTTCAATGTTAATAATAATAATAATAGTTTCTTCCATACCAAATCAGCATATTAGAATGACAAAATTAAAATTCAACTTTCCATCATTGGATTAAATGTATATAAAAAAATGTAATATGCAAAAATGTTTTTTTTTGTTTTTTTTTGAAGTATTACTATTTCTATTGCATTTTTGGTCAAATAAATGCAAGCTTGGTGGGCATAAGAGACTTATTTTAAAAGATTACTGACCCCAAACATTTGAATGATATTGTAAATATCACAAAATATGATATGAGCTGGCTAATGTAGATTTTGTTGAAACTGAGTATTGGCACCATTTTCTAGTAAAATTGTTTATATATTTATAGATGTCATATATCTACATTATTGCTGTTTCATTAAAAACTATCAAATTATTGAATAAATGTGTTGTTTATATAATAATAATAATTTTAATAACAACAGTTTGTTACATAACAATATTAATAATAAAGTAGTATTATTTTATATAACAATAAACCAATAATAATAATATTTAACTTTTTATGACATTTTTTTTTGTGATGGAGCAAATAGTGCCAAAGCAAATCTGATTTACTGCAGAAAAAAAACCTTATTGTTGAGCTCTCTTTTTTGTGCATTAGAAAGCATGAAACTCAGGGTTTCTTTTACCTCATATGTCAAACAGCACTGCAGATGCCAACTGATTCTTTAAATATTCATACAACTGCATGTTTTTGACACCCCCATGGCTAAGTATAGAGGCGCAGGATCCATGTATGCGTGTATATTCTCTGCAGTTCAGGCTTATTTAGAGTGCGAAAGTCTGCAGGCTTTTAGATGGTGAGTGCCTTCTGTTTACATGGAACCTCACAGACAGAAGTGCCAATGGTTGGCAGAGAGCTGCGTATCCTTCTCTCAGGGCGACTCCCTTCGATTCACCAGTCACTTCAGTTAGCACAGACGCCATCAAGGAGTGCCCTGCAGTTCCACAAGCTGCCCGTCACAATTTCCGGCACAACGATTTTGGGTAGAGGTCGTGTATCGCCCCAGTCTGTGAAATTTTATGGCTAGAGGAAGTGAAAGAATCCTTCATCACCCCTGATGACACTGCAGATCTCAGAAAAAAGCTATGTTAATGCTTGAATTAGGTTTTTTGATGAATGTTCAGCGTTTTCTCACATTGTGTCTTTAATACTAGCTATTGACTGTATAGGTTGATAATTGATATACAACTTCCTTTTGACGGAGGATGTAGATGCCGTCAGCATTCCCTCAGGTGTACATGGGAAGCTTGAGGACTGGCAGCTCAGATATGCCAGCGAGCAGATGTCCGTTCCTGTAACTCTACATGAGTGATGGCAGCGTTGCATCTCCTCTATTAGCGCCTGTAGGGCATATCAAGATCCTGATGTCACGCCTGAGCTCAAATGCTGATGTCAATAATCTGCTGTCTTTTTAAACCCTATTAAACGAACAGGTCACTTGACTATATAGTTAGTGACCAAATAAATGCTCAACGCCCACTCGTCAAGTTTACTTATGAGCCTTTGGAGGCGGGGACAGTGACTGATAAGAGCTGGAGAAAAGTCAGTCTGAAGGAGCTTGAACCAACTAACCTTTAGTACATACAATTATTACATACACGTATACAAATACATACACAGCTATTATTTTCAGAAAGAATTTTCGTAATACATTAAAGAGCTGTGACCCAGTGAAACCAAATATCTATGTATTGTAACACCGTAGACTACAGTTGACTGGATGTTGAAAATGACCAATCAAAGGAAAGGAGACATTAGCCACTGTCCCCGCTTCCAAAGTCTCATAAGTAAACTTGATGAGCGAGTGAGTGTTTGTGTGCATTTGCGAGCACTAGTCACAGTACTGTGTTTTTGGAACCACATGCACTCTCATGAGTGTGTTTTTCGGTGCACAGATAGAGGTGTGTGCGTTCGTGGAGCAGAAATGAGCTCTCGCGAGGATGGTTGGAAAATTTGGCATTTTTAAGACATGATACTGTCTTTATTTTATTTTTTTTATATATAATATAAAAACCGTTTCCTGGCTGGTTTATGCATGTCTTTTTTGTCTCCAATACAGTATTATTAGTGTGCAGTAACAGTATATTTTTTTGCTTTTCTCACTATGATGCATCAATCTCTTCATTTTAAAACTGATTTTAGTTAGGTTCAATATGCATTAGTTTACTTGTGATATTAAACCATATGGAATGCACGACACTAGATAAATCACAATATTGTCTGTGCTAAAGGTTAGTTGGTTCAAACTCCATCAGACTGATTTTTCTCCAGCTCTCATGCCGGCAGATCCCCCCCCATGATCTATGTCATGTCCCCTTGTCTGCTGGAGGGATGACCTTTTCAAATATCAGCACCGACAAGTACTGAAATATACAATACATGATCTTTACATACATGAGCATATTTGCTCAGTTATTTCTTTGTTCATCAACAGTGGCCGTTTTCGTTTGTTTTTTCATCTGTTGTGATTCCTATAGTGATCTGTGATGTGTTTCACTAGGGGCACGTCGCCAGGCGAGACCAAGCTACTAGCTTCTGAGATCTACGAGATCCTGCAGAACTCCAGCAGCGCAGAAGGCGAACAGGCAGAAGCAGCCGCCTCTTGCAGAAAAAAAGCCCAATTTTTCCTGGGCTCAACGAACAAACGGGCCAAAACGGTGGTGCTTCAGATCGACGGGCTTGATGATTCGGTAACTGCAGTCAAACAGCTTGTAATGGAACCCGTTTAATCAGAGCGTATGGAGATATTTGGTATTGCACAATTTGGCACTTTGTCTCTGTTTATGTCAGGCTCGGAGGAGTCTTTGTGAAGAAGCCCTGCTAAAGATCAAAGGTGTCATCAGCTTTACCTTCCAGATGGCTGTGAAGAGATGTGTGGTGAGGATCCGTTCAGACTTGAAGGCCGAGGTGAGTTTACAGTCTAGCTCAATCCATATGACCATCTACAGACTGCGTAAGAATGCCAGTGAAGTGTATTAAAATTTTTTTATAAAATGTATACATTTAAAGTGCCAGGTTTGGACATCTGTGAACATTTGAGTAATGACATATTGAATAATTAAATCCAGTTTGAAAGAAGTGATGCTTAAGAAATGAATCCCACTTAATGGATCAGAGATGCTACTAGAGAATCTATTTCAGCATTCTCATACTGTTTCTTCATTTTTCAGGCGTTGGGAACTGCTATAGCTTCAACCAAAGTCATGAAGGCACAGCATGTAGTGAAGGGGGAAGATGGATCGGATGTGAGTAAATCAAATGAACAGATCTCTGGTCAGAATGCACACAATAAATAGACGGTTGAACAAAGCATGAAAATAGTCATCTACTCACCTTCACATCACTTTTCGAAACTAGACCACTTTTCGAATCTGGACCTTTTTGAATCTTTTTGCTTGGAAATGTCTTTTTTTTTTTTTTTTTTTTTTTTTTTTTTTTTTTTTTTTTTTCCTTTTAAAATTTTTTTCTGCAATCCAGTCAAGTCACGCCACAATTATTTATATAGCACTTTATACTGCTCTAAAGCAAGCAGCTTTATAGTATAAAAAAAACTGCATCGATGACTTTCAATTAGGATTACAGATAATGTGTTCTTGCTTTCACTCATGGACATCTGATCTCGGACTGAACAGAAGAAATGAGCTGGAGAAGATTTCTACGTCAAAAGCAAGAGTTTTTTTGGGTGGAAAGGTTTTTTTTTTTTTTTTTTTTTCTTCTTTTTTTTTTTTTTGCATTCCATGTAAAATCAATGAAATCATTCCAAGTCACTGTTTTCTTGTTATGTGAGGTATTCTTTTGAGTCAGGTGCTGCGTTTAATTTAGTTGGTTGCCTCTACCTGAAGATGTTAGCAGATGCTGTCTGCATCTGTCCTTAGAGCTGAGGGTAATACATTTCGACATGTTGAGGGTGAACCCTGCTACACTCGCCCCATCAGAAGCTTTACTCATTTTCCCCTCGTCACATGATCACTCAGGATGCCCTGAAACCGTGTCAGAGGGTCCTGGAGACACACACATACACACTCTTGCATGCAGATGCAAATAGGCACTGTGTGGTAATTAAACAAAGATGTGTCCTCTCTGGTTGAATTGGAAGGGCAATGTCTACCTGCAGCGGGATAGTGATGACCTCCGGTGGCCTTCATCCCAGAGGTCTTGGACACTGCTTTACTATGCACTTCCTCCTTCAACCAGCAGGTGGCACAATTGATTGAGTAATGGTCTTATTGATAGCACTGTTTTGCATTGAACAGACACAAATGAAAAGCTTTGTTTTAAGAAAAACAGCAATATAGTTAGTAGGGCTGGACTAATATAAGTAAAAATATTATGTCTTATAAATTGATGATACTTAAGATGTATTTGCTTTAAAATAGTAAAAAAAAAAAAATTGGTGTAGAAATTATTTTCCCTCTGAAATTGCTAGTATATTTCACAATTACAAAGAAAGGCAAGTAACACATTGAAGTATATTTTACAGTCTACTGTTAGCATCAATAAGGACAATAATAGTAAAATGTTTTTTTTTTCATGTGCACCAACATTTTTGTTCCAAAAAAGATTATAATTCCCGAATGCCTCATGAGGGCTTCCTTAACCATTTTTGAGTGATGATGCAAAATAAGTAATTGGATTATTGTTATGAACCAGTTCACTGAAATAGACAAAGATCAAAAAATTTACCAATTTTAATTATGGTTAAAGACCCAAATTAATCACCTTTTTTTCTTCTGTGAATGCAACCCTTTTTGAGACCGGAAGTTGGGGCAGAACGTATCTTTCTGTTTTTGTGTGTCTTATTCCACCTAAAAATAATTTTGAATATTAAGTATAAGTAAGTAATTTATATGTATCTGATATATCGCTTAGACTTAATAATTCTTTCATTTTGTATCATAAAGATGGTAAGTTTGTTGTTTTGGCTGCAAATTTATATATTTTTTATTTTGTATAAATATTATATATAATATATAAATAATGGAATTCTGCTTGCAAGCTTAGAAATTATAACAAAATGGGTCATTGTTCCCATTGCTTTCTTTCCCTCCCCTCCAGATTGTAATCCCATTCCAAGGGGACTCGGATGTGGTGGTCGAGCAGAACATAAATTTGCCGGATTATCTGCCTGAGGACGAGAGCCCGTCTCAGGAGCAGCACAAGGCTGTGACACGACTGGGCTCCGTGCAGGATGGCGTGAGCTGGCTGAGCACGGCCGCCAACTTCCTGTCCCGCTCATTTTACTGGTGACCCCACGACTCCCCGCATGCCCCGCCCCTTTACAACCCGCCCTCGACGTGCCAGACTGCCGAGCGCATCCGCAATAAACGTATAACCTTGTTCCAACTATAAAAAAGGCTACAACAGGCGGCTGTAAAGGGTACGCGATCCAACCTGCTCCTGAAACTCACGTTAGCGCTGCATATGCACCTCACGAGACACTAAAACCTGAGAGCAACAGGGAGAAGTTCACAGAAAGCATTTCATGTGTATCTGCTCTCTCTTATTCACCTTTTATGTTTGGTCATAGGAAGGTTTTCAAACGATACGCCCCAGATTCTCCTTGCAGGTTTGTTTCTGTTGAGACTAAATAATGCCTTGGGGGTTTCGCCAGGCGGGTCGTACCTTGAGGTTTTCTAAATTTCTACAAATTTAGGTGCTTTCTGATGTGTTCTAATCCTTCATCTCAGCTTTCTTGTACATTTAAAAAAAAAAATTTGTTTGTTTTTCAATTATTTGATAATCCTAATATTACTTTATTCATCAGCACTTTTCAAAGCATGCATATTTTTTTGAACTGTGTGTGTCTTTGCTATGTAGCTTGTTGATTCATTTTCTCCATTTTAAATCCTCTTTATTTGCTTCGTCTGAACTTCTAAAGCCTTCTGAAGATGTGATTTTTAGGTTTGAAATATGTAGTGATGGTTCACTCTTCCTCACAGAGCTCATTTCACATAAAACATAATTAAAACACCTGCACTGGTTGGTGTGCATTAATAATAATTAACGGTTTAACGCCTCCAGTAAAGGGAAGCCACCAGGAAATAGCTGTTACTATGTGTGTAATGCTAACCTTTTATGTTACAGCATGTGCCAAACACCAGATAACCTTCTTTACACTAGCAAAATATGTTGTAAAATAGCTCTGACCCTTTAGGAATTGATATTAGAAACTTTTTTTTTTTTTTTTGTACCTTTCTTAAACGTCAATGCAGTTTTCCTTTATGCCATGCTGACTATTTATAAATGATTTTTTTTGTGTGGGAGTGTGTGTATTCCTAAATACCATAAATCTGAATGTTTTGTTCAGGGCCTTTCATACACATGGTCATTTTTAATGTGGGTTTTTGCTAGCCAAAAGTATGATCCGGTTTCTGACCGGTTATGTGCCCGTCACCTCTGCATGACCATCACCCCTTGAGATTTCCCTGACCAACTGTGTCTTTTAACAGTTTAGATAATCAACTGACCTCACATATTGCATTCAGGACGTTCAGTCCGCTCAGGGATGTGTGTACGTTGTCCTGCAACTGATGGTCTCATGTACGTCGCAGTTTAACGCCGGTGCGTTCCCAAAAGGAGACCTACACACATCGATATCAAAATGAGTTAAACCAGTATATGTCCTTTCCTAAATGTACCTTTTGTTTTATTTTTCACCTTATGCTGGAAAACTTGGGTTGTCGTAAGGTATCAGTGTTTGCACCCTTTTGCATTTTTCCTCATAATCAGCAATGCTTTCAGACTTAAAAAGTTTTTAAATTTGCATCATGTCGGTTCACGTTGAGGATTTGTTACATAGACCGCATTAGTGTATAGAATTGAATCACACAGTGGCATGCTTTTTGGTTGGGTTTAAGATGAGATAGAGACCATCAGTGTTATATTTATGAACAAAATCCAAATTTAATTAAGTTTAGCATTTTCTGTATTTTTATTTCCCTCATCTTGTACTGTATACCATCTTTTCCTGAAGCGTCTTAAGTTACTGCTCACTGTTATTCCAAGAACACAGAACCAGAGCCCATGGCAGATGGTAGATTTTAGTAGCTTCTCCTGTACAGTGCATATTTGCTGTTACATTCAAAGTTTTAGGACACAAGATTCTTTGTTGTTCACTGTAATGACAAGGATTATTAAATAGATCAAATAAATTTGTAGTGTTGTTTTATTTTCATTGGAAATTGTGTTTCATTAGCCTCTGTGGCACCAATCTGTAATGGCAACATTTTTATTTTTTATGATTTGAGCTGAATGTTCATGGTCACCAACAAGAAGTGCCCTCAACGCTGATGATTACATCAGTTTATATGTGAAAGCTTCTTACTATGAATTAAATGTGTACTACTATGGCTTTAAAGATTTCAAACATGTAAAACTCAACACCACCTGCTGCTGATTAACTAATAATTCTGGCTCATCCCTCAGTTTGTAAAAACAGATTTTATTTACAGTAGTGGGGCAAGGCATTCCAGAAAAGTGGAGCTTTTATTTGTCACATAGTATTTATATATATATTTATTTTTATTATTATTTTTTTTTCAAACAAAAATGATGTCAGACTGATATATGTTGGCCAGGCCGATTAATCGGCTACTATTTAGCCATTTCAAGATTCTAATATGTCCATCTGGCCAATTAACTGAGGTGTTTATCACTATACTTTGTCAGCTCCAAATTTTACTGACAGCTTTGTGAATTTTTGTTGTGTAAAATAATATAATATAAGATTTCATTTTATTAATGTTATGCATGATTATGCATTAACTGTCAATTGAATTGTATTAATAATTTAAATGATTAATAAATTCAGTTAATTGTCAATATCAGTTACATTACCGTTCAAAAGTTTGGGGTATGTAAGATTTTAATGGTTTTTGAAAAGTATTTTTATGTTTACCAAGGCTGCATTTGTTTGATACAATAAAACTGTAATATTCTGAAATATTATTAAAATGTAAAAAAAACACTGTTCTCTATTTGAATATATTTTTATTCCACTGATGACAAAGCTGAATTTTCAGGATCATTACTCCAGTCTTCAGTGTCACATGATTCTTCAGAAATCATTCTAATATGCTGATTTGCTGCTGAAGAAACATTTCTCGTTATTATAAATGTTGAAAACGGTTGTGATGCTGAATATTTTTGCAGTAACAGTGTGATTCTTACAATTCTTTGATGAACAAAGAACAGAATACAAAAGAACAGAATTTTTTAAAATAGAATTGTTTTGTAACAATGTAAAAGTATTTGCTGTTTTTTTAAATGCATTCTTGCTAATATTATTATTATTTAAAAAGAAAATCTTATTGACTCCGAACTTTTGAACGATAGTGTGTAGTTGTATTTAATTATGTTATGGCACAAACCCATATTGTCAGCCACTTCACAAATTATTATTTGTTATTTGAGCTGTAAAGCTGTCTAAATTCTCCCTTTTAGCAGTTAGACTACTTCTATTATGCATTAGCGATGCAACATTGTGCAACTCTCTTTTAAGTCTAGCTATACTTTTTAAAACTGTACATAATGTGCATAAATATTTACAGTGCCTTGCCCTATAGATGTCCATTTGCATTGCTGTAAATGCAGTTTTTGCTTATTTAAAACAAGGGTCCAACCTCCAGGCCGGGGGGCACTACCAGCATCACCATGGCAGCTGAATGTGCTGAGGCCTGCAGCAGTAGAAGAAGAGAAAGAGAGTCTGTTCTGTTCATGATGATGGGTGTAAACAGCCGTAAGGGACGCCCACCTCACCGGCCCTGCTTAGACAGCAGAGATGTGCATGGCCAACTATGATTCTATACCGCCAATGGCATTAGATCACCAAGCTTAAATTGGTAAATCAACACGTTCCCAGTCCAGATTCCTGAATTTGATGGGTAGTCCATGCTCCCTGTACAGGGAGATATCAGGACAAAGTCATTCTGCTGTGCTCCTCTTGTGAAGGCCATGTAGAGAGAAAGCAGCAGGAAACCTCATCAATCATCACAGCGCACCTTATCCAACATACACACCTTCATCTCTCTGTCTGAAAGACCCTGACAACACTATTGCGATGTGAAGTGGGTCAGATACCTCAGCTGGGTCACAGGCCTAGAAGACATGCATATGGTGACTATACTGTGCTCGTATGGCAAGTTTAGCTGGGGGTAATTGTGTTAGTATAATGTGACTCTAGTGATAGCTTTCAGTCACGTGGCCGACTCAAAGATCTGGAGGGCAAAACATCCATAGAACTGCAGCACAAGCCTGTCAATTTTCCATCTGTTTCACAGCCGCAAATATTTAGATCACCTCTCAAAAGAATAAAACAAAAGTATGAACAAAATGAACGTTTTGGCCATTTGCAATCCATATTAAGCACCCACGGCAATATTTCAATCATTAAACAGTGCGACAAACGTCGTAAAAACACTTCAAGTGTCTTAATATATTTAAAACAGTAATATTAAAAGATCAAATTCAGTAATCACTATATTAATGATGCATAGTTTACATAGGCAAGCAGATGAGGTCGGAATATGAATGCAATCCACTTAATGGTTCAGTGTTTTCTTTATAATGGTTTTCTATGGGAAACCATTTAACGTGAAACTTTGCACATTGTGTTTATATTCTGGGTTCCTATGTTTGCCTGTACAAAATATACATAATCAATAAGGTGTTTATTGAATTTCACCTTTTAATATCTGCGTTTTACTACATTACTACTTAATGCAAACTGCTGGCGGTCAGTGGAACAAAGTTTCGTTTTGCCCTCCAGGTGGGCCTTCCTATGAGTGTGTGACGTCACGTGGTTTTGGCTTTCAAAAGCCAGAGCTGCCCACGGAGACCTCGGCAAGCCTCTGGTGAAATTACACTTTTATTATAGTAACTGTGTCAGTCCATACACTAGGGGGTGCTGGTTGGCTGTGCTTTACATGCATTTTCATGCAGTGAGGTACTGCTTTCTAAATAAATGATCACATTTAAGGACAAAGTGCATGTTTTGCCTTCTCATGTGCTTAAGTGTTTGATGACAGCTTTGTGAGGACCGTGTGCACGTGTTTATTGAGACTCAATGAGACAAAGACTGATTTAAGACCCATTCTGCCAACTGCTTTACTTGTCGATTTCTTCGCATACCTTATGAACAGCAGTGAGAATTCAAAAAAAAGGAGAGAATTTGCTAAGAAGTGTGTTTTCAGGTAATTTAAATGTTTACTTCATGAGGTAACATCTAATTTGTTTTAGTCAGAAATGTTATTTAATCTGACTAAATCAACCTGACAAATCAGGTTACACCAGTGTAAGTGTACATAAATGAAAACTTCTCTTTATATAAGCTAGATGTGTGTTTTTATGTTTTTATAATTTATAAACATATGTTTATGTCACACCTGGTCCTGTGACACAACATTTTATTCCTTTAAAGGGGTCATATGATGCGATTTCAATTTTTCCTTTCTCTTTGGAGTGTTACAAGCTTTGTCGAAGCACATTTTATGGAGGACTGTTTACTGATCCTGGAAGAGTAACATTAAACTAAAATGCCGAATACCTCCGTCTCACACTTGAGGTATTCGGCCAATCACAACGCACTGGATAGCTGGCCTATCACAGCACACCTTGCTTTTTCAGACGAATGAGGTTTTTAAAAATCGGCGCATTTCAAAAAAGCGGGGCATAGAGGAGAAATGTGGAAGTATGTGGAAAATAATGTTTTTTTTACTTTTGTTTAACTGTATAAACACATTTCATCACACCAAATACACAAAATAATGTTATTTTTAGCAGCATCATATGACCCCTTTAATGTCTCTACACACAGCACAAAGACAATAAAGCTCTCTTGACTTGACTTGAAAATAATTTTTATGAGTTCAGTTAAAAATAGATTATTGAGGAAACAATGGATTACCACTTTTTTTTTGTCTACTGTATAAATGGAAAAAAAAATTTTGGTTTATTTTTTGATAATTTTAGTTTATCCAATATGATCATTCCTTTAAGATTAGATTTGTAGATTTGAAGCTTTATAATATATATATATTATAAAACTTTTAAAAAGGTAAATC